GCACCAAACATATCTTTTGGAATTATGGCCAAAAAGTCCAACCTTGGTTTCATCAGACCAGAACACATTTTCCCACATGCTTTTGGGAGACTTCAGATGTGTTTTTACAAAATTTAGCCGGGCTTGGATGGTTTTCTTCTCAAGAGAAGGCTTCCGTCTTGCCTCTACCCCATAGCCCAGACATATGAAGAATACGGGAGATTGTTGTCACATGGACCTCACAGCCAGTACTTGCCAGATATTCCTGCAGCTCCTTTCATGTTGCTGTAGGCCTCTTGGCAGCCTCCCAGACCAGTTTTCTTCTCGTCTTTTCATCCATTTTGGAGGGACGTCCAGTTCTTGGTGATGTCACTGTTGTGCCATATTTTCTCCATTTGATGATGACTGTCTTCACTGCATTCCATGGGATATCTAATGCCTTGTAAATTCTTTTTTACCCTTCTCCTGACTGATACCTGTTACCAATGAGATCCCTCTGATGCTTTGGACGCTCTCTGCGGACCATGGCTTTTGCTGTAGGATGTGACTAAGAAAATGTCAGGAAAGACCTACTAGAACAGCTGAACTTTATTTGGGGTTCATCGGAGGCACTTTAAATGATGGCGGGTGTGTACTGAGTCCTATTTAACATGATTTTGAATGTGATTGCTTAATTATGAACACAGCTACATCCCCAGTTACACTTATGCAACCACATTATTTTAGTTTTTTATGTTTACTTCCCCCCTAAAAGATTTCAGTTTGTTCTTCAATTGAGTTGTGCAGTTTATAGGTCACATTAAAAGTGGAAAAAGTTCTGAAGTGATTTGTCTTTGCCTCATTATTTTACAGTACAGGAACCTGACATTTTAACAGGGGTGTGTAGACTTTTTATACCCACTGTACACTGCATTGATGGCTGCATGGCATTTCTCAGGGCAGGTTTCCTTTTAGTGACAACAGTGGGCCACGCCTGTGTAATTTGAGTTGAAACAGTCCCCAATTGGAAGCCTTTGTGACAGGGTGACAACACAAAGTATTCTAGGTTGTAGGACCTTCTTGGCGGGATGACCTCGTATTTTTTTAATAAAAGCTGCAGATTTTAAAATTGATTTTGAAATTACATTAAGGCTTGGTTCACATCCAGGGGCGGACTGACAACTCATGGGGCCCCCGGGCAATAGGGGATCATGGGGCCCCTGTGTCCTTGCCCAAACTCAAAAAAGCCTATAAAAAAGGTACCAGGGGCATCTCATGGGGCCCCCTACTGACCCCGGACCCTTCCACATCTTTGCAAATGGTCAGTCCGCCCCTGTTCACATCTATTTGTCTATTTCGGGAACTCACACAAAATGGCATGCTTGACTGCCGTGCACAGAAACACGTTGCTATTTAGCAGATGCATGGTTGTGCCACGCATTGGCAACCAAATGCATTTTTTGTACATGCCATACCGTGTGCAAACCTCAGTTTGGTGCGGCACAATTTTACAAAAGGGTTGGGGGCTTCCCCCCTCCCATTTCTGCCTATTGAAAATAATGGACTGCCCTAAACCTTTACCTGCGCACACATAGATACACTATATTGCCAAAAGTATTGGGCCCGCCCTCCAAATCATGTGATTCAGGTGTTCCAATCCCCTCCATGGACACAGGTGTATACAATCCAGCCCCTAGGCATGCAGACTGCTCCTACAAACATTTGTGAAAGAATGGGTCACTCTCAGGAGCTCAGTGACTCCCAGCGTGGTCCCGTGATAGGTTGTCACCTGTGCAATAAGTCCATCCGTGACATTTCCTGGCTACTAAATATTCCACGCTCAACTGTTAGTGGGATTATAACAAAGTGGAAGCAACTGGGAACAACAGCAACTCAGCCACCAATTGGTGGTAGGCCACGTAAAATGACAGAGCGGGGTCAGCGCATGCTGAAGCGCACAGTGCGCAGAAGTCACCAACTGTCTGCAGAGTCAATAGCTAAAGACCTCCAAACTTGGTGTGGCCTTCAGATTAGCACAACAGTGTGGAGAGATCTTCATAGAATGGGTTTCCATGGCCGAGCAGCTGCATCCAAGCCTTACATAACCAAGTGCAATGCAAAGCGTCGGATGCAGTAGTGTAAAGCACGCCGCCACTGGACTCTAGAGCAGTGGAGATGTGTTCTCTGGATTGACCAATCACGCTTCTCTGTCTGGCAATCCGATGGAGGTGTCTGGGTTTGGTGGTTTCCAGGAGAATGGTAGTTGCCTGACTGCATTATGCCAAGTGTAAAGTTTGGTGGACGGGGGGATTATGGTGTGAGGGTATTTTTCAGGGGTTGGGTTTGGCCCCCTAGTTCCAGTGAAGGGAACTCTTAAGGTGTCAGCATACCAAGATATTTTGGACAATTTCATGCTCCCAACTTTATGGGAAGAGTTTGGAGATGGCCCGTTCCTGTTCCAACATGACTGCCCACCAGTGCACAAAGCAAGGTCCATAAAGACATGGAGGAGCCAGTTTGGGGTGGAGGAACTTGACTGGCCTGCAGAGTCCTGACCTCAACCCCATAGAACACCTTTTGGATGAGTTAGAGCAGAGACTACGAGCCAGGCCTCCTCCCCCGACATCAGTGCCTGACCCCACAAATGTGCTTCTGGAAGAATGGTCCAACCTTCCCATAGACACCCGCCTAAACCTTGTGGACGGCCTTCCCAGAAGAGTTGAAGCTGTTATAGCTGCAAAAGGCGGGGCCAACTCAATATTGAACCCTACAGACTAAGACTGGGGGCCATTAAAGTTCATGTGCGTGGAAAGGCAGGCCGACCAATACTTTGGGCAATAGTGTATACGCTTATGGGAAGATTGGTGTAAAATGAATGTTCTCTATAAAGAGAAGTCATAGCCTCCATGGTACGGCCACTTTAAATGATTCTTTGGGAATTCAGTAGAACAGTACGGACTAAGACTGGGAGGCCATTAAAGTTCATGGGAGTGGAAAGGCAGGCGGCCCAATACTTTGGGCAATATAGTGTATATTTCACATGTTAAGCACATGTATGCTAAGTAATGTGTCAGTGTAACACTTCCAGGTATTTATTACCTCTTACAAAGATGACCATACATCACCCCGACAATGCCTTCATTTGCTTTTCTCTCCAGAAGAATGGAACCACATTTGTTCAGGCATCATCCAGGATCACCATCTACATCCTGCACTGAGATGCCAGATTCGAGAAGACACCGTCATGTATGTCCTGGCACCTGTGCAATTCTTGGCTGTCTTCTCTGCTAAAGAGTTGCAGGAAAGGAGACTGAGCATATACTTCCTCTTGCCTGCAGCAGACCAATGACAACTTAGCCCAAGCAGAGCCACTGGACCGAAGCTCGAGGATGACTTCTTCATGATAAAAGGTGGAACTTTTCTGATGGTTCCATGTCAGGAATTCATTAATGCTGACTTTTAAAAATGGCAAAAGTTCCACTTTAAGGTCAGCGTCTGCTACAGCCCCACCCACAAGCAGCATTCAGCCAGTGTGAACAGCAGCACTGGGCCCATAACAAATAAAAAGGTGCAGCGCTAAAACACATATATAAAATTATCAATGTCCATAAATAAATTAATGTGCCAAAATATAAGGTGTCAGTCTATGCAGATATAGGTAAAGGTGACAGTAGAATCCAAATAATGGTGCTCCAAAAAGTGTGGTAGAATTACGCACTCACCAGATGCGTAACGTAAATACGCATTGTATAAATATGTAGAGTTTCCCTTAAGGTATTGGATGAGATCCTACTCCGGGATGATCTTCCCTCTAGGTGGTGCTGTCAGGGATTCACAGGAAAGTACAGGATCCAGCTGCCCAGAGATCCCTTTAAGGAATGGATGGGTGTGGGTGTCAGCTTTAAGGAACTCCCCTCTCTGGATGCTGATGGATGGCTGGATCAAGATGGGCTCTAGAAGTAAATAGCTCCATGCAGGAGACCATAAAAGATGCCCGTAGTGTAGTAGGGTAAACGACAACCAATTTATTAAATTAATGTACAAACGAAGTTGCAAATTCCAAGTTAAAATTTGAGTGGTAAAAGATGTGACATCTGGTATAACAAATACATGGACTAACTGTCCAAAAAGTAAGATGGCCGCTGGGCCTCCACGTGACGGAATAGGGACTTTGGGCTAAGGGAGTTATAGAGCGTGATGTCACAGCGTCTTAGGCTCCTACTAACGCGTTTCGTGCGCATGCACTTCTTCAGAGGGCAAATACCAATGCACTGGGCCCAGTTATGGTGAATTGAGTCCAGTATCTGACCTCAGCCTGGTCTATGGGTTCAATTACAAGTCTGTTGCACATTATGTTGTAAAAATAACAGTCTACCAATGCATCAAACCCTCCTGAAAGTCGTTGTCGTGAGCTGTGGCCTCAGTGCTTGGGATGCCATTTAGAAAGAATCGCAGCACAAAGAGGCATGTGATGTGCGTTGCTCTCCTGCTCAGATATATAAATGGCCCTTAATGTTTCTGGGATGGAATCATTGGCTCACTAATGGACTCTAATTATGGCCTCAAGACGCTCTGCGGTTTCTGCGGACAGCCATACGCTATGCAGGACATAAAGCGTGACGCTGGGGACGTTCGTCATCCCGATCGATATAAACTCATATATCAGACTGCTATGAGTCAGAGATACGGGCGCTGGGATTTATCCTCCTTCGTGACACGGCGATCTGTGATCTCATTGTGCTGAACGCCATCCACTCACTTATCGGATTAGTCTCATTCACTCATGCCTGGCCCTGCAGCTCCGTGACCCTCTCCTGGACACCATACGTCTCCAAGATTAAAGTCTGTAGAGGCATTAGATGGGGTCAGAAGTCCATACCTTCCTTACATACAAATAACCAGTCCTTCCTTCCCGAGACGGGACAGGGACTTTGTGCTATGGGAGATAGAGGGGGTTATATACTATAACTGGAGAGTGAAAAATCTGCTGCAGCTCTGCATAGAAACGAATCAACTTCCAGGCAGGGTCCGGGGCCCTGAATGCAGGGTCCGGGGAGAGCAGGTATAGTGAATGCAGGGTCCGGGGAGACAAGATAGAGTGAATGCAGGGTCCGGGGAGAGCGGATATAGTGAATGCATGGTCCGGGGAGTCCAGATATAGTGAATGCAGGGTACGGGGAGACCGGATATAGTGAATGCAGGGTCCGGGGAGACCGGATGTAGTGAATGCAGGGTCCGGGGAGAGCAGATATAGTGAATGCAGGGTCCGGGGAGACTGGATATAATGAATACAGGGTCCGGGGAGAGCAGATATAGTGAATGCAGGGTCTGGGGAGACCGGATATAGTGAATGCAGGGTCCAGGGAGACCAGATATAGTGAATGCGGGGTCTGGGGAGACTGGATATAGTGAATGCAGGGTCTGGGGAGAGCAGGTATAGTGAATGCAGGGTCCGGGGAGACCAGATATAGTGAATGCAGGGTCCGGGGAGACCAGATATAGTGAATGAAGGATCCTGGGAGACCGGATGTAGTGAATGAAGGATCCTGGGAGACCGGATGTAGTGAATGAAGGTTCCTGGGAGACGGGATCTAGTGGATGCAGAGTCTGGGGTTTAGTAATACTTTAATTGAACAAACTGAAGTTAGAAGCTGATTGGCTGTCATGCACAGCTGCACCAGATTCTGACTGCACCAGTTTTTGTAAATCAGCCCCATTGTGTGCCTAGAGCAATACAAATGACCATACCCTACCACCAAAGAACAACCCTAAATACATTTTCCAGCTCTTGACGATCGCAGCGATACTATATATGTGTATGTTATTTGTTGTTTGTACCCGTAGTACAGCCCAGAAACAATAGTACGCATTTTGTTTTTAGTTTTTATTTTACCTAAAACACACTGACACTGGTACCAATTTAAAAAAAAAAAACTGACCTTTGACCTTGACCCAAACACTAACCCTGGCACTGAACTAGATCAAACCTTGATCTAGGTATTTTTTCTTTAGTTTTTATTTTATTTTTTTGTATTTCTTTATCTTTTTTTACATTTTGTTTTTTCTATGCAAGGATAGGGAGAGATACAATGTACAGTATGTCTCTCCTCCATTGAGAGAGAAAAGAAAATCAAGGGGGGCGGGCTTCACAGTGACTGATCACTGAGATAGCCAATCAGAGGTTATCACAGCGATCATGTGACCTGGAATTGGGAGTCTCTGGTCCTGATCGTTAGAACGGGACCCGGGGCTCTCAGTGACACCCCATTCTTTGTGGTGGGAGCGTGCTGTGCAGCGCAAAAGGTATGCAAAAATACCCAGTTCTGTGAGGCAGCACATTCGTGTGACGTCGGCGCCAAGGGGTTAAATAAGAATATATTTTATTAAAAAAAAAAAATTAACTTGTAAGGTTTATTTAACCCCTCGCCCTCCAGAAGATCCCCCCCCCCCCCCTTCCTGACCAGGCCACTTTTTGCGTTTATGGCGCTGCGTTACTTTAACTGACAGTTGCGCGGTCATGCAACACTGCACCCAAATGAAATTTATGTCCTTTTTTTCCACAAACAGAGCTTGCTTTTGGTGGTATTTGATCGCCTGTGCGTTTTTAATTTTTTGCACTATAAAAGAGACCAACAATTCTGAGAAAAAAAAACAATATTTTTGACTTTTTGCTATTAACCACTTGCCAACCGCGCTATAGCGAAATGACGGCTACAGCGTGGTTGTCCAGTTTTGGGAGGACGTCATGTGATGTCCTCCCAGAACGCACCCTCCTGCACGCCCCCGGTGATCTTCACAGCTGATCACGTGATGTGGTAAAAGGCCAATCAAAGCAGCCTTTTACCACGTGATCAGCCATGTCCAATGACACAGCAGATCACCGGGTAAATACAGTTGCTGGTTATCAGCTGCAATTTCCTCACGCTGTCACAGCGAGAGGAAATTACTGCTGATAACCAGCAATTGTCAGAGGACGGATCGGCACCGATCATCAGGGCACTAATCATCAATGCCCAGCAGTGCCACCCACCAGTGCCGCCCACCTGTGCCCAGCAGTACCACTCACAAGTGCCCATCAGTGCCACCCACCTGTGCCCATCAGTGCCTAGTAGGGCCACCCTTCTGTGCCCAGCAGTGCCCTCCATCAGTGCCACCTATCAGTGCTGCCCAGCAGTGCCACCCATCAGTGTTCAGCAGTGCCGCCAGTCAATGCCGTCAGTCAGTGCCACCCATCAGTGCCGCCTATCAGTGCCCATTAATGCCGCCTATCAGTGCCGCCTCATCAGTACCAGCTCATCAGTGTCACCTATCACTGCTGCCTATCCGTGCCACCTCATCAGTGTCGCCTATCAATGCCCATCAGTGCTGCTTATTATTATTATTATTATTATACAGTATTTATATAGCGCCAACAGATTGCTCAGCGCTGTACATTATAATGGGAGACAGTATACGAGACAGTACAGTAAAAATACAATACAATACACGAGGGGTTTGAGGGCCCTGCTCCTTGGAGCTTACAATCTAGGAGGGAGGGGATAGTGGTACAGGACGAAATAGCTGTGGGGGATGGAGTGGTAGGAAGAGTGGAGGAGATCGGCTGTTAGGTGAGGGCGGGGTAGGCTTCCCTGAAGAGATGGGTTTTCAGGGTGCGTCTAAAGGTGAGGAGGGTGGGTGACAGTCTGATGGATTGGGGTAGTGAGAGTTCCAGAGGATGGGGGAAGCCCTGGAGAAGTCCTGGAGACACGCTTATCAGTGCTCATCAGTGCTGCCTATCAGTGCAGCCTCACCAACACACATCAGTGCAGGATAAAAATGACCCATTTGCAAAATTTTATAATAGAAACAAAGAAAAACTTTTTTTTTTTAATTTTTCTTTTTTTTTATAGCACAAAAAATAAAACCCCCAGAGGTGATTAAATACCACCAAAAGAAAGCTCGCTCTATTTGTGTGAAAAAAATTGATAAAAATTTCATATGTGTACAGTGTTGCATGACAACGCAATTGTCATTCAAAATGCGACAGCGCTGAAAGCTGAAAATTAGCCTGGTAAGGAAGGGGGTGACAGTGCCTGTTAGGCAAGGGGTTAAATATGTCCAGTAAAACATTTAAAAAATCAAATTTCATCATAAATTTAGGCCAAAATGTATTCTGCTCCATGTTTTTGCTAAAACAAAATCCCAATATGTGTAAATGAATTGGTTTACATGAAAGTTATAGTGTCTACAAATGGCGGTATACTGTAGATACTGGAATTCGTTTATTTTTTTTTTTTTTAGTAGCAATGGCAGTGATCGCTAGGGAAGGAAGCAGTGATCTGCCTAGAGATGGAGGCAGTGATCTGCCTAGAGATGGAGGCAGTGATCTGCCTAGAGGAGGAGGCAGTGATCTGCCTAGAGGAGGAGGCAGTGATCTGCCTAGAGGAGGAAGCAGTGATCTGCCTAGAGATGGAAGCAGTGATCTGCCTAGAGGAGGAGGAGGCAGTGATCTGCCTAGAGATGGAGGCAGTGATCTGCCTAGAGATGGAGACAGTGATCTGCCTAGAGGAGGAAGCAGTGATCTGCCTAGAGATGGAAGCAGTGATCTGCCTAGAGGAGGAGGAGGCAGTGATCTGCCTAGAGATGGAGGCAGTGATCTGCCTAGAGATGGAGACAGTGATCTGCCTAGAGGAGGAGGCAGTGATCTGCCTAGAGATGGAGGCAGTGATCTGCCTGGAGGAGGAGGAGGCAGTGATCTGCCTAGAGAAAGAAGCAGTGATCTGCCTAGGGAAGGAAGCAGTGATCTGCCTAGAGGAGGAAGCAGTGATCTGCCTAGAGATGGAGGCAGTGATCTGCCTAGAGGAGGAGGAGGCAGTGATCTGCCTAGAGAAAGAAGCAGTGATCTGCCTAGGGAAGGAAGCAGTGATCGCCTAGGGAAGGAAGCAGTGATCTGCCTAGAGAAGGAAGCAGTGATCTGCCTAGAGAAGGAAGCAGTGATCTGCCTAGAGGAGGAGGAGGCAGTGATCTGCCTAGAGATGGAGGCAGTGATCTGCCTAGAGATGGAGACAGTGATCTGCCTAGAGGAGGAGGCAGTGATCTGCCTAGGGAAGGAAGCAGTGATCTGCCTAGAGATGGAGGCAGTGATCTGCCTAGGGAAGAAAGCAGTGATCTGCCTAGAGCAGTGGTTCTCAACCTTTCTAATGCCGCGACCCCTTAATACAGTTCCTCATGTTGTGGTGACCCCCAACCATAAAATTATTTTCGTTGCTACTCCATAACTGTAATTTTGCAGTGGGAGGACTAGTGCCCCATCACTGATGTCAGTGGGATGAATAGTGTCCCATCGTTGGTATCAGTGGGAGGAATAGTGCCCCATCGTTGGTGTCAGTGGGAGGAATAGTGTCCCATCGTTGGTGTCAGTGGGAAGAATAGTGCCCCATCGTTGGTGTCAGTGGGAGGAATAGTGCCCCATCGTTGGTGTCAGTGGGAGGAATAGTGCCCCATCGTTGGTGTCAGTGGGAGGAATAGTGCCCCATCGTTGGTGTCAGTGGGAGGAATAGTTCCCCATCGTTGGTGTCAGTGGGAGGAATAGTGCCCCATCGTTGGTGTCAGTGGGAGGAATAGTGCCCCATCGTTGGTATCAGTGGAAGGAATAGTGCCCCATCGTTGGTGTCAGTGGAAGGAATAGTGCCCCATCATTGGTGTCAGTGGAAGGAATAGTGCCCCATCATTGGTGTCAGTGGGAGGAATAGTGCCCCATCATTGGTGTCAGTGGAAGGAATAGTGCCCCATCATTGGTGTCAGTGGGGGAAATAGTGCCCCATCATTGGTGTCAGTGGGGGGAATAGTGCTCCATCATTGGTGTCAGTGGGAGGAATAGTGCCCCATCATTGGTGTCAGTGGGAGGAATAGTGCCCCATCATTGGTGTCAGTGGGAGGAATAGTGCTCCATCATTGGTGTCAGTGGGAGGAATAGTGCCCCATCATTGGTGTCAGTGGGAGGAATAGTGCCCCATCGTTGGTTTCAGTGGGAGGAATAGTGCCCCATCATTGGTGTCAGTGGGAGGAATAGTGCCCCATCATTGGTGTCAGTGGGAGGAATAGTGTCCCATCGTTGGTGTCAGTGGGAGGAATAGTGCTCCATCATTGGTGTCAGTGGGAGGAATAGTGCCACATCACTGATGTCAGTGGGAGGAATAGTGTCCCATCGTTGGTTTCAGTGGGAGGAATAGTGCCCCATCATTGGTGTCAGTGTGGGAGGAATAGTGCCCTATCGTTGGTTTCAGTGGGAGGAATAGTGCCCCATCATTGGTGTCAGTGTGGGAGGAATAGTGCCCCATTATTGGTGTCAGTTGGAGGAATAGTGTCCCATCGTTGGTTTCAGTGGGAGGAATAGTGCCCCATCATTGGTGTCAGTGGGAGGAGTAGTGCCACATCACTGATGTCAGTGGGAGGAGTAGTGCCACATCACTGATGTCAGTGGGAGGAATAGTGTCCCAGCATTGATGTCTGTGGGAGGAATAGTGCCCCATCATTGGTGTCAGTGGGAGGAATAGTGCCCCATCATTGCTGTCAGTGGGAGGAATAGTGCCCCATCATTGGTATCATTGGGAGGAATAGTGCCCCATCATTGGTATCAGTGGGAGGAATAGTGCCCCATCATTGGTGGAGGGGGAAATAGTGCCCTATCATTGGGGTCAGGGGGGGAATAGTGCCCCATCATTGGTGTCAGTGGGGGGGGGGAAATAGTGTCCCATCGTTGGTGTCGGTGGGGGGGGAATAGTGCCCCATCGTTGGT